CCCTTCAGTCGAGGGTTGAGCGAGTCGTAGCGACGAGCGTTACTTGTATATAGAAACAATTCAATATGTTCATCATATTCGAAAAAATACGAAAAAAAGTACTACCTCCAAATTGCGATACCCTTATCGTCGCAATGTATTGCTATGTACAGCAAGATTTGATGTTTTTCCTGTTCTGTTTGAATGAAGTTGAGAGAATGTTTCCAATCTGCAGTGGTACCACATTTATTATTATAGGCAAGGGATTCTGTTGTAGAGTTAAATAGTTTTGAAGCTATTTTTCAGCCTGAAGTTTACAGAATACTCTAGAAATACTCTTTCTAGATGGGGCTAGTATACCATCTCGATATTTTTCCCGTGGAACGGCATTTTAGAAGAAAACTTTTTCTATTCAATCAAGAGTATATAATTAAGCCCATACTATGACTATACTAAAAAGTAATCGTAGAATGATAAATTGTTCAAAATGGTTTATTAGCATTCTAAATCTTTCATATAATTTTCATAAGCCTCTTTTTAAAAACATCTCGCTTTCATTAATCCTTTTAAGGTATACGACAACTTCCCAAACCCTCGAAATATTTATTATATTAGAAACTGTGCAAAAGTTTATTGAAATGCAATGTATAATAGATCCTTAAAGGATTTATGAAATCATCATATACCTTTACAGCGTTTATGAAAGCGAGATGTATTCAGGAAAAGGTTTCTGAAAATTTTATGAAGGCTTTAGGAGAATAATAAATCCTAAGGAAGGATCTACTATTCGATGATTATTTTTTATAGTGTAGGCATCAATTTAAGGGACTTTTTGAAGTAATTAGTTAGTTCATGACTTCAATAGTATTAAATATCGTAAATTATTCAACAAAATTCTTTTTGTTCTCTGTATTTCTTGTTAACAACAGCCATTTAATCATGATTTCTGCAATGAGAGAAAAACATGTGAAATTATATATGATCAGACAAGAACAGATAAGACCTGCAGTATGTCTTGTTGTATGTGCAACGATAAATGAAAAAGGGATAGTGTGATAGACTGGGGGAATAGCTTATCGACACCCTCGGTAGTGATGTTTATTAGCTACTTCATATGTCCAGAATGTATCTATTGCACATTCAACACACGTTTATATATGATAGAGAAACAAAGAGAGAGACAACAATAGAGAGGAGAGGGAAAGAGGAAGAGCGGCGAGCCATGCCGCATATATCGGCACAGTATGTTTCTGTTTTTTATGAACCTTATATGATCTAATGAGATCTGGCAAGAATGGTCTAGTCTGCTCGTGTAGGTTTCTTAATCTTCAAATTTTGCAAGAACTTTTGTTGACATCTTACGGTCGGAATCCGACGAAATCTTTAGAAAAACGAACACATATGATGTTATCTGATCTTTTGACAAGATCATAGAAAAAATCTTATAAGAGTAAGATCTTATCGGATATTATATGATCTGATGTCAGGTTTTTCGAACTGGGTAGAATTGTCAAAAACGTTCAGGTCAAACAAACAGATAATAAGATCTTGCATCATCATCCATCGAACCTTGTACGATCTTGTAAGATCAGGCGGAAATCGTACAAAAAATCGTGATCTCGGAAATCTTACATTAATTCGCTCTGTAAGATTTTTGTACGATCTTGTTATGCTGTCAGATCTTACATGAGCATTATAGTACGAATTGATGTAAGATTTCTGAGACCATGTTTTTTTTCTACGATTTCGTCTGATCGTACAAGACCTAATGTCCGATTTCTTGATCTGGGCGACGATTTTTCGTAAGATTTTTCATGTAATATTCTATGGTCATACAAGAGCATACAAACGCTTTTGTAAGATCTTATCACATAATTATTCCCCTTACACGGGAACCACTCAATCTGATGCACTTCAATTTCTTTCGTTCGTATATCATTCGACAAAAGACTTAGAGTTAGCAACAAGTCCAAAAGAATTTAAGCCGAATCATTCTCTTTCAATGGTTATGATCATTTTATTGAATTTTTAGTCTATTCTTAGGAATCTACCGAACAAATCAAATTACGCAATTCTGACCCGAAAATTTTCTTCCATAAGCAAATCTAACGACACTTACAATATCTAAAAGTGTCAGCCAAAAGCAATGTTCTTTGTTCGAGATATTTAAGAGAGCTTCCATGAGCTGATCTAGTATCGCTCCAATATACAAGACACTCAATAAAATTTTTTTTTTGATTTTTTTTTGCTCATTCAAAACTTCAATGTCTAAAACTACTAACACTAAAATTTTAGGTTCTAATACTCTTCCTATGAAAAGTTAGCCAAGATCAACTTTTGGCACTATCGGGCTTTTTTGCGGAAAAATAAGAAACCATATTCTATAAAAGATGTGCTAGCATACGTTTCAGCAAATCATTGAAATTTTTTGTGGTATACATAGGAAGATAGAGAATTGAAAACTGAATAAAATGAGCTAGGTTGATATAACATAATGGCTAATAATTTAAGTTTTATAGAGCGAATATGAGTCAAGGAGTGGTCCTTTTGATCAGTGCAAATAAACAGCATAACTCGTGCTGTGTTTCAGTATTAAGAGATCCCACGCTGAATTTTATATATATTGTGCAGTTTTTTATTCTCTACAAAATGGCAAAAAAATATTTGAAAAAAAGTTCTTCATCGATGCGAAAAAGGGTTTACACTATCTAATTTTTTATGGTTTTTGATGATTTTTCGATAAAAAACGAACATTTTTAGAGGTTTTTTTTGTCATAAAATAATGCTAAAGCAAAACAAATGTGATATTCAGAATCAGCGTGAAAAACTGCATCCAACTATGTTTGTTTCGCCCAAAAGGTTTTCCTACCCAAAACTTACCTGAGGTGGACCAGGGAGAAAAATTTCTTTTAAATATAACTGGGGGGGGACCACAGGTAAGTTTTGGGTAGGAAAACCTTTTGGGCG